AGCAAGGACCTGGGCACAGATCCTGCTGCCACCACACTGGTGTGAGCCCCTGGCCCCATTTCCAGCCTCTCTAACCCTGATGTCAGCACCACAACCCCACAGAACACAAAGGAAATGGGGCCAAATCCTGATTTTGGGGGTGAAGCCCTGAGCTAGGTGCAGCCCTGAGCTTGGTGCAGGTCCAACCCCATGAGGAACCCAGTTCCAGCCTCTCTAACCCTGGTGTCAGCACCACAACCCCACAGAGCACAAAGGAAATGGGGCTAAATCCTGATTTTGGGGTTCAGCCAGGAGGGAATCCCCAATCCCATGAGTGGTTTTTCCCCACTCACCTGCAGCACCCAGGTCCTTTGGGATCCCCTGGCACTGCCCAACCCATGTTGATGCCAGCATTTCTGCTGCAGTTTTTTATTATTTCAGCTCTTTGGTGAGGGCCTGCTCCCACCACACTGGTGTGAGCCCCTGGCCCCATTTCCAGCCTCTCTAACCCTGATGTCAACATCCCAACCCCACAGAACATAAAGGAAACAGGGCCAAATCCTGATTTGGGGGTGAAGCCTTGAGCTTGGTGCAGTCCCAACCCCATGAGGAACCCAGTTCCAGCCTCTCTAACCCCAATGTCAACACCACAGTCCCACAGAACACCAAGCAAACGGGGCCAGATCCTAATTTTGGGGTTGAAGCCCTGATCTTGGTGCAGCCCCAACCCCATGAGTGGTTTTTTCTCCACTCACCTCCAGCATCCAGGTCCTGTGGGCTCCCCTGGCACTGCCCAGCCTTGGAGGCCTCTCCCAGCCACGATCCCGCTCCTGGATCCGCCTCAGCTTCGCTCCTGAGCCCCAACTCCGAGGATCTTCATGGATCTTCTCCCTTCCCACCACCCATGCTGCCACCCACGACCGTGCCTGTCCCCCTTGGGCAGGGATTGTCACGATTGTCACCCTTCCCCTGCTCTGCCCGGCTTAGGCCACCCCGCTCTGTCCAACGCAGCCGTTTGGCAGCTGCTCTGCGGTCTGGATGTGGGAGAAGTCAAAAAAAAAAAAAAATGTTTCTTATTACTGCCTCTTCCTGCCTGGCTTGTCTCCACCACTCCCAGCTAATAAAGCATTTCCTATTGCTGAGCACACAGCCACCAGCAGCCTCCCTTCCTCCCCGCTCACCGGGCCCCAGCTCCATCCTGGTTCCTTTGAGTCCCTCCTCGTCTGTCGCAGACATTTTTTTGCACTAAAAATCCTTTCTTTAGGATTTTCCCTTTTTCCCAGAAAAAAAAAAAAAAGTAAACAATAGTTATCTGCTGCTGTGGAATGCAACAGGTAGAATTTTGATTGGGCCGTCTTGGATGTTTGTAATTAATGGCCAATCAAACAGAGTCCGAGCGAGCTTCGTTATAATTCTCTTTTTTTTCTATTCTTAGCTAAGCCTTCTGACAAAACCTTTCCTTCCTTTTCTTTTCAGTATAAATATGTGGAATGCAACAGGTAGAATTTTGATTGGGCCATCTTGGATGTTTGTAATTAATGGCCAATCAAAAACCAAGCTATCTCAAACAGAGTCCAAGAGAGCTTTGTTATAATTCTCTTTTTTTTGTATTCTTAGCTTAGCCTTCTGAAAAAACCTTTTCCTTCCTTTTGTTTTTAGTATAAATATAAATATATATATATATATATATATATATATATATATATATATATATAATAAAATAATAAATCAAGCCTTCTGATCATGGAGTCAACATTCTCCATGAGCAGAAGTCTTGGTTTATTATTTATTATTCATTTATTATTCGTCTCTTGCCTCATCCAAGAACCCCTGTGAACGCAATCACACTCGTCCTTCCCTGAGTGTTTTTCCCACCCCAATTTTCCAATTTTTATGGGAAATTCCATCCCATGGCTGTCAGCAATTCACCCTGAGCATCCCCGAGGTGCTCAGCTTGCTTGGGTGGGGATGGAATGTTCTAGATCTGGGAATGGCCTTGGGCTGCTTGGATGCCCCTCCCTGGTTATTCCAGGTTGGTTATTCCCAGAAATTCCAGGCTGCTGTGCTGAATGAGGCCTTTCTTTCTTGGGCTGCCTAAAAAGCAGAGGCCAGACAAAATCAAGATAATAAAAAGCAGTTATTT